AAAAAAAACAATTTGGACTTCACTAAAATTAAAAGTTTCTGTCCGTGAAAGATAGCATCAAAAGCACAAGAAGACAAGCCACAGACAACTGCTTCACTAATGCGAGATATTAAAAATAGGTAAAACTATTGTGGGGTGGAGTGACGGTATATATGCAAACTCTATTTTCTGCTTAATTTTTCTGTAACCTAAAACTGATCTATAAAGCTAATTAAAATCTATTAATTAAAAAGAGATGCATTTGAAAAAATGAAACTCTTTAAGTACCCCATCACACTTTTATCTCAGTAAAGCCTCAAAAAATCAAACTAAAGGAACCCTGGGAATTTATTAAAATATATTAAAATAAACTAAGGCATTTGGGCTTGTCATAAAAGATGTTATTGTTCCAAAATAGTCATGCAATAGGAAGTCTCCTAATTTTTTGTAGTGTAAGAACTAAATACTGAGTTGGTGAAAATGTACAGATATGTGGTTCAGAGACTTGATCTGGGCTGGAATATTATCAGATGTTTTTTTTTTTTTTTTAAATGGGAATTTTAATTTCATAAGTGTGAAAGACATGATTTAGTGAGCTGATCCAAATACTGACTATAGGGCCTCAGGTGCAAAAGTAGTCACACAGCAGGTAAAATACTCAGAACACTTCTCACCCAGAGGTTATTCCCTGGGTTGTTTTTATAGGATGCCAATATACAACACAGATGAATATATATAAATATCCCTTCTGAGTTCGTATGAGAGAGGCATGACAGTTTTACCTAAGACCTAAGAATATCGCTGTGGGAGGTACTAAGAGGAAATTCAAGATCTGTCTTTTTATGTTCTCAATGATTTAGAAAAATCATGCATCTAAAAGGTAAATTATAATAGTTCAGTGGTTAAAACTGTAGATTCTGCAATTAGGATCCCTGGATGTAAAACAGGTTTTATATACTCATTATTGATGTGACCTTGAGAGTTTTTTCCTGTGTAAAATTGGGATAAGAACAATTGCTACTGCATATAGTAGCTGTGGTCCTTATATTGGATAACACATGTAAAGTTCTTTGAAAAGTTTTAGAAAAATGTTTACATTGTAAGCATTGATAAATATTTCCAATTATTATTATTATTTACTATTACTACTATATTGCTAACTTCTGTGCTGATGTATGGTATAAATACTATTTAAATATGCTAGTATTTAAATATGATATTTTCTTTGAGGTCGTTATACAGCAAAGCCAAGCACTGCTGGAAGACAACCAGCTACATGAAGCAAATTCTCAGTCTTAAGTGGCTAATAAATTGTGTTCAAACCTCCGTATTTGTAACAAAATAACCATTCACACAAATCTCTCTCTTGGAAGTTTTCACTTCCACTTCATCTATTCTATTTGTTTGCCCTCAGACCAGAAATTTTGTATTTTTTTCCTTATCTGAATTTCGTGTGTGTGTGTGTGTGTGTGTGTACACGCATGTGAGAGAGAGAGAGAATACAGTATGAGAGAGAATAGGAAAAACGCATGTTGATAATGTGATTATGTGCCGTACTTCCTCTTTAAAGGCTGAGATAATCTGAAAAGGAGGAATTCAATTAAAATACAGGATAGTTTCCTATCTACTTGGTGGTGTGACAGCCCCACATGAAAAGTGGAGCCTGTGCAAATTCCTGATTTTGGCAGTTTTTAGATCGAATGATATTTATAATATTATCATCATAACTTTGAAATTTCCTAAGAGTTGCAGTCAAAAAATGTTTATAAGCATATATGAGTATGATGCCTTTGCCAGACGTACTACCTTTGATAGCAAATTCGACCAACTGAATGTATGTATTATGGTTCTGGAAAATAAATACTTCTACATTTGAGGATTTTTTCAGAGAAAAGTCATTTTTTTTTATTTTAAATCATTATTTGATACACTAAAAATAACAACCTCTGTTACTATCAAAGTTGCTGTAACTTTATCATGTTTTCTTGTTGGTAGATGTGAAATTGGCAGTCACTTTACTCTGTGGAAGGTTCTTTCAGTGCTAGGTACTGAATAGTTACAAGCCTTGAAATTTTTCAGTGATGTCTTGTTCTGAATGAGAACATACTGTACTCTGAACTTTTGTCTTCTTTGACTCCGTGTCTTGATTCTCATGAAGTAGTGCTTATTAGGGTGTGAATAGTATTTCAACTTTTGAACAGAACTTTAAATTTCAGTTTAATTCAATCATTATCTTTAAG